TCGTTTTTATTTTGAGTTTTTATTGACATTGTCATGCTAAACTCTGAAAAATTTTGATTTTTTTTTCTGCTGGAAACGCTTTTTAAGATTGTTTACAACCAAAACCGATAAAAGTTTTCCAAAAAAAGAAAAACTTGCTTCTGACTGATCAAAATTTCATTTATAGTGAGATTGCCAATATAAAAAACTTGACTGTAATTGGTTGAAAACAACATGAATGAAATTTTCAAAATAGGTTAGGTATAATTCTATTCGAGTGTTATCAAAACTTTTAAGTACAGCTCAATACTGACTGGTTTTTTTCTTCCAGTTTCGTCAAATACGTTGGAATCCATTCTAATTTTTCTTGACGTTCAAAGCAGTTAGTCATCGTAATTTCAATTGTATTTTTTTTTAAGTTTTCGGGCCATGTCAATGTTAATGTAATTCTCTCCAACACTACTCATTCTCATTGCCGAAGTTATCAAATGCACTCTGAACATCTTCAAACAAAGCATATTGAGAAAAAACTTATGAAAGTATTCAGGAGAATATCGGTTTTTGTCAAACATCAAAAATTTGCAAGATGTCATCGAAATCAAAAAATGGACAAAACTTACGAAAAAAGATTTTAATCAGTACTCTTTTGAAAAATTGATTTTGGTGTTTTTGTTTTCAAAAAATGTAACTGTTAGAAAAACCAGCGCACGCAACATTAGCCTTTAAATTGTCGTGAAATTCTCAACGGAAACTTTGATCACAGAAACAACTGTAGACGAAGCAGACTTATGAGAACGCTTGTATGTTTTTCTTCTATAAACAATTGATACATTTTTCCCCCAAGTTTGTCTGTTTAGTATTGAACTTCACATGGAAAGAATTTTTCTGGAAGATATATGACGAAGCATAGATCAGGTTTCTGCTTTCAAGGCATACATTTCTAAAAGTTCAAGAAAAAAAAACAAGTTCTTTTAAAGCTTTAGGAATTAGTGTGTTTTCTAAGCAGATAATTGGATGCTTAAGCTCTAAAGTTTTTTCTTTTTCTAATTGTTTTCATTGTTTTCAGATTTATATGAGGAAAATGATATATAGAAGATAAAAACTAATGCCAATAATTGAAACTGATAGAAAAAAAATTGTTTCCATCATTTGATGAATTAAATTAAATAGTAAAGAGATTGAAAGAATCAAAGAGATTTTTGTATGACATGAATCTGCCTTCGAATTTGAAATGATGGGCTAGTTATTGAAATTTTTTCAGTGTTTAGTATTTTTTTGTGTGTCGATTTCCACATGTAAGAAATTTATCCTGGAGGATAACAGATGAACCAGAAACCAGAAAACTGCGTTCAGGACCTTTTTATACAAAAAAATAAAAAACATTCGAAAATGGAAATAGAAAAAATAATGCAAATAATGGAAGTTTAAAATGGAAGTCTAGAAAAAATGGAAGTTTTGCTAGACTCCGGCAATCATATCAAAAACGATAGAAATGAAATTTTTTCGTGAATTGATACATTTCTTCGACTAAATAACTTTTAGAGAAGATTTTTACGACAAAAGATTTCTTTTGAAAAATAATAATCGAATTTGAAGAAAAAAATCTTTTTTCAATGCATACACTATCTGTACTTTCAAGAAAAAAAACGCTTTAGATTTTTTTATCGCAGAATGAATTATGATTAAAACATTTCACCATGATTAAAATTAAAATATATTGGTTAATTGTTATATTTTTTGAAAATAGGGTTTTTTTTATATTTGAATTTCTTAGAGTTGAAATTTAAAAACGGCTTTCAAGACTTACTTTCATGTTTTTAAATAAAAGTAAAAAAAAGTGAGAATCTATTAGATTTATTGGACTTAAATGAAAATTATAGTAATTTCAGCTGAATCAAATTTTTAGGTTTTCAAGTTGAACCAATGATATCGTATTTGATTTCAATGAATTCAATTAAAGACAAATTTTTGTTGCGTTTGGATTCAATTTTGATTCATTTCGAAATTGCGGCTGAACTATCAAGTTTTTATTGCTTGATTAAAATAGCCTAAGATGTATAAAATGTTTGAAGGATAAACTTTATACATCATTTTTCATGAATTTTTTCAACAGAAATTCTTTTAAAAGACTGAGCAAGTTTTAAGAATTGTGTTTCTTTGCGCACTTCTGCCTAAATTTAAGTGAAGAAACTCTCAAAAAAATGTTGTAGAAATCATTTAGCAGGGTTTTGAGATAACTATCAATAGTTTAGGCTAAATTTATATTAACAATTACCTAGATGTATTCAAATTTAAATCACTTGAACTAAGCTCCAATTCTGTCTCTCTCTCTCTCTCTCTCTCTCTCTCTCTCTCTCTTTCTCTTGAAAATTTTTTCGATTAAACTCAAGGATAAAGTAAATTTTAGACTGTTTTGCTGCTAGTCGCCAAAATTCAATTTTTGCTTAAAAAATTTAAAATAGCTAATGAATGAAAAAAAATGTCTTCTGAATGTAGGCTTCCCTGAATTGTATGTGAAATTTTGCCAGCAAATTGTTCGTTCACTTGATACAATTTTTACCCTGAATTCCTTAGTTCTGACTAAGTTTCAATTGGATGTTGGTTCAACTAGAAAATTTTAAATACAAACTACAGCAGGAATATACCTAAAATTTCTCCAAGGTTTTTTGATAATTTGTGTTTTAAAAGCAAAAGAGAGAAAATGGACTAAGTTGAAAGGCTTTGGGATTAAGTTTCACCCGTATTCTAATACACTTTTCTTAAACCCAATTTTTAGGTTTTACAGCAGAGTAAATCATATCAATGATCTCAAATTTAGCATAATTTTTGCTTAGAAAATCCGAGAAGTGGTAATTTTTTTGTATTAAGTTTAGGTATATCAATGACAAAAAGACGAGAAAGAGTGAATTATGCAATTTCTCAAAAACTATCAATAAATACTTCTAAAATTCATCATTTGAATTGAAATTTTTCTCTATGTCTAACATTAGCTGGACAAAAGAACTGTTTAAACCATATAAGAAAAGTATAATTTGAAAAAAACTTGCTTAGAGACTGAATCTGAAATGACAAAATTTCAATTCAGCTTCTCAGAATATGTTTTGTTTGCGATGTTTCAGCATAATTTCAGCTAATACGAGCTCTGCTTCGGATTTTCAAAACACCATTTATCACACTTCCTAGCCCAAATTAGAACAAATTGAAATCCAAACGTAAAAAAGAAAAAAAAACATTTTATTCAAAAACTTGTTGATTGTTTAATTATGATTTCAAATATAATGCAAAATGGGTTTGAAATTACTCTCTACGCGTAATTCAACATTGATCTTTTAGAACTACATGGGCAACACTAAAATAATCAAAACAGGTGATTTCAATTTGATCATTTGAGATTTTTGAAGAAAAAAGCGTACCATCTGAAACTCACCATAAGAAACTCATCCCTCAAAGTTTATACTGTCACCTTGAGTGATCGATTTTCTATTCTAATTTTCAGAATCTTTGTTCTATAGAGTCTCATATGTTGATGTATTGGCAGAAAACGTACCATCTGAAACTCCGAAACCTGTATCGATCTTAAAACAATGGGAGATCTATTCCCTATGTTTAAACTTAGGGTGTGGTCCCAGAAATCCATAGCCTATCCTAATACATGGCGGTTCAATAGCATCCACCCTCCTACTGATGATTCATTGTTGTCATTTTTTTGATAGATTCGGATTATCGAATAAGTTGGAACCGAAAGAGTTGAGATACTTGATAATGTCGAAGAAAGAACTCTGACAGCTTCTACGATAAACTGCGGCGCCAAGTACTGCAAAAAAAAACTTTTTTATGTGTCAATGTTTTTTCTTGTCTTCTTTTTTTTCGGAGCGGCAGCTATCGACTGACAATAACGCGAATTCTCCCCTATAAGGTAAAAGTGTTGATTCAAGGAACAAGAACCAACTCCTAGCATTAAACCATTCAGGAAAACAGCCAGGTAAAACAATTCAAAATACTACAATCTGCCGATTTCAGAGAAGAAAAACTGTTCCTGAAAAGGTTAGGTGCCCCCAGATATAATCGCTTTTAACTGATGGGAACAAAATTGAAGCTGGTTGTCTGCATAGAAAAGAAATTTTCCATAAAAGTTATGTAATACACTAATTTCTGGGGTAAAAAATTAAACAATTGAACTTAAGTGACCATAGATTATCAAGTAACATAATTGTTTTTGTTATGAGCTCGAAATAAAAAAGAATTTGAAAAAAATTGAATGCGGTTGTTTCATAAGCTTCCGTTATAAAACCATTTCGCCTCGTTAACGGAAGCGAAATAAAACCATTTCGTCTCGTTTTTTCTTGTTTCATATTTTCGCACATAGCAAACACAAAACGCTGTTTTACTCAGCTAATTCATAAGAAGTTTTCATCCAGAATTGTTTTCATCCAGAATTGTTAAAATCAAGCACACTTTATCCTTAAAATTCATTTAACTATAATGTGAGATAAACTTGATGGAAAATGAGGTTAATTGTGAGCTGGTAGCTAACTCTCCACAAAGACAGCAAAAAATAAAACCTGTTTGGTTCCTCACAGAGCTGCACCAAAACATCTCAGCAGAAACATTAGCAAAACCAAAGGCAGATTTAGGATGGGGGGGTGGGCGGACGCTTTCTTTCTCAGGGATTCGTCCACCTGCCAACCCAAAGAGCCCCTCCTTTGTACTATTTTGGCATAAACATTTCTGGCTGACGGACCCTTAAACTTTTCTAAAGGCGCCTATTAATTTTGAGTGAGCCAAAAAAAAGCAATTTTGTGATCAAAATTTTCAAAAAAAAAAATGCCTAAAAACGCCAATTTTTCAAATTTTTGACTTGTTTTTTCAAAATTTTTCCTGCGTCGAAAAGAAGTGGGAGAGCTAGAAAATCAATTTGGTCGACCTAAAAAAAAGCCGACAAAAGTTTTTTTGAAAAAATTCCACCCGCCCTCGAGAAAATCCTCGATCCGCCCCTGGGCAAATTACAATCAATTACTTACCCTGATTTGTCTCAAGCTTTTCCCCTCACTTGCAAAATCGGTTAACTTGTTAATGTAATCTTTGGGGGAAATTCCTTGATTCTGGCCATAAAATGCATAGGTTCTCATTTGGTATGAGCAGCAACCTATAAACAAAATTGATTTTCGTTAAAAGTTTTCTGCAATATGCACCGATCGGATCCATGTTTCAACAAAGTTTATATTAATATTTCAACTAAGTCGAAGAACCAAAATTTACATAATGTCAAGTAAATAGGTTTATCTTATTCAACAAAGACTCAAAATGAGCGAATATCCTCTTCTAGTTTGAGCCCTTGTAAGGAAGGAGTAACCTGAAGGAAACATTAATTTAAGAAATACTTGAAGAAAAAAATCTATTTGGCTCTTTTGTACTACCAATTTTCTAAACAATCGCGACTTCATCTTGCTATAAATTAAATGGCGAAAAAAGTTTTTTTTTGGAAAAAGAAAGGTTTAAAATCGTTACCTGAAAAATCGTACTCATTGAAGAAGGAAAACCAATTAATGCTTGTGTAAATTGAGCGACTGAATTGTTCAATTTCGAGTGTGTCATTCCAGCGATGCTCACGTGAACGAATTTTGGCAGTCCAGTATCGACTCATGCAGAAGTATGGACTAAATTACAAAATTAATTTGAAATGATCCAATAGATATGATGAAAGTTGGTCATTGAAAACTTAGTTTGTACATAATTCTTGAATGGTGTCATATCGATTTCATTTTTACAATCCACTAGCATAAAAAGTTAAATTAGAAAAAAAATTGATGATGAGAACTCTATGCAAGAAGGGTATCAAGAGCGATAAAAATCATTTTAAATTCTTCTGAACTTTCTTTTGACAAACAAACAAAAGATCCTACGCTCAAATATGAATATTTATTTCAGAAAACTTAAATTTTTGACATGGCCTGAAACGAATTGTTAGTAGTTGGATTATGTTACGGAAAAAATGTTAAGAACTAATTGAATTTTCTGAGATATTTTTGCGTCATCAGAGAATTGAGAAAAGGAGGTCTGAGTTGTGTTATTCAACCAGTGCATTTGATTTTACGGACTATACACAGACTTTGATAAAAAATGAAATATTGTTGATTCCTACATTGCCTGATGAAACATATCAATAATGCTTTTTGTGGTTTTTCATTAAGCGACGAAGCGATTTCAAAAAATGAGTTTTCAAACCCTGCTGCATCCAAGTTTAAGAGAAAAATATCCATAATAACGGATAATTATGGTGATTTTTAGAAATTTATGATCTATCATGATTATCAAAAATAAGCGCTTGAAGGTTTTTATAATTGAATATAATCGTGATGTTTTCCAATCAAAAATACTTTGTTATAATCAATCATAACTGATCATAGTTAGAACAAAATCTGTTAAATTAAATTAATTATAATTGGATATCATCGATTAGAATCGTATATTTTGGCAATTTTTTGTCACACAAAAAGTGTAATTTAACCAAGAGGCCTATTGAAGCTTTGTACCACTTGCGAGACATTACGAAAATGAAAAATAAAGAAAAAAAATCGAAAAAATTTGAAAAAAAAAACTAATTCATCCAAATTAATCGCAAAACTTGATAAAAAATAACTAGTGGTCCAGCTTAAGCAAGAGGTAACTGTTTGATGCTTTGAATTTTTTTCTTTTGATTCGAAAAAAAATGGGTAATTTCAAAATTTCTACTAAAACCATTGAGAAGACGGAATTTTTTTAAGAAATAGGCACTTTCCCTGAGATACCATATTTTTCATACAAAATAAGAGGACTCACCGTTTCTGAAGGAAAAGGTATCGCAAGGGTCATTTCTATTCCAAAATGTGCACTGGATTGGCGCACAGTTCTGTGTCTGTATGTTCCTGGATTTCAAAGACAAGCCGGTTAACATGTCTTTAAGCGATAAAAAAAATGAAAGAACAGATGAAGAAAAATTCGAGTTTGTCGATTGAATACTTAACCGAAAAATTAGCTGTGTAGTTTTCGATGAAAGTCAATTAGTTTCTAATGAGGGTACAATAACCAAGTATTAACTTTTTCTAGGGCTATAGCTTTTGCTCTTAAAATTGCTTTGAGAAAAAAATCTTATGCGAAAGAGATTAACAGAAGCTTTTGTTTTGATTGAACACGCGAACAAAATATCAGAGGGTATTCTTAAAAATAAACGGTTTTGAAAAACGTTAAAAAAACGAAGTATAATTTTTTCGAGGGCGACACATTTTGTTTCTAAAAACATGGCCGTAGTTGATCATTCAAGGCAGCTTCCAATAACCCATTAATTCGATTGAAAACTATCTTTTAGACTCGGGACGGTCAATTTCAAGAAAGAACAAAAAAAACTCAAAAAACGCTCGAAAAAACGAAAGTTTGACTTTTTCTAGGGTCATAACTTTTTCGATAATAAAAAACAGTTGAAATTAGCCGCATATGCAAAAAAATGCCGACAATTTTTTCCATCAAATGAACCCAAACTTTCGTACCTGGGATTTAATTCATAAGAAAACGAGAAAAAAATCCAAAAATTTGGGTTGAATCTTCCCCAAAGATTTTCGAAAGCTAAAAAGAGTAAAATTTGGGTTGAATCTTCCCCAAAGATTTTCGAAGGCTAAAAAGCAGTAAAAAGAGATTAGAAGACTATGCAGGCGCTCAGATGAGCTGGAGTTTTTCTTTGATAAATTTTTGTGCAAATCGAAAGAGTTCTCTACCGAACTAAAAAAAATTGCAAACAAACTTTTTGAAAATCGAAAGCGTGTCAAAAAATTTGGAAAGACCAAATCCCAAACTTTTTCATAATACCTAATTTCATCTAATATATTTTTTTTGGCTTCCGGAACTACGCAGTATAGATTGTTGATTCAGCCGACTTATCTAAGCCAAAATCGTTTAATTGAAAAAAAAACATTTGAAAAAATTATTCGAAATCAGACTTAGTAAAGACAAAGTACAGAACTTTCAGTCCTAGTTAGAAAAATTTAAAGTCAAAATAAAATCCATGTTTTAGAAAAACAGACTGATAAATTTTAGTAAAAATTGCTATTTAAAACGTAATATGAGCCGATGGAAACTTGGCTGAAAACCACGAATCCGAAAAAAAAATTCAAAAAATTTTCAAGAAAATTCTAGAAAAAAATAATTAAAGCTCTAAACGTGCGCCACTTATTTGTTATCTAGAGAGGGTAATTCCATTTGATTTTTTTGAAACTGAGCATGTCTGCAGCAGGGCAGCAAATGATTCAATTGTTTCTATTAAACTACTTCTTGAATGGAGTCCAAATTTCGATTTGACAATGCTTGCTAACGGCGAGCGTAACTATATCTGGGTTATAACTGTATTGGGTTAGTTTTTTTTTCTGTCAATAACAAAATCTTAAAAGACCAGACTCCATTTACAAGATGATTTTTTTTAACACAAATTTTACCCCGAAACAAAACTTTCATTGAGACCCTTTCATAATAGCTAAAAGGTTCCCGCGTTAAGTGAAAAATGATTTTTCAGAATAAAGCAAGAATCGAAGCAAATTGCGAATATTTTGTTTGTTCAAAAACTTAAAATGTGCATCATTAAACAACATAAAACATAAGCAGTTCAGATGCTAGAGCGAAGACAATTTGGGCAAACAAAAGGGTTTTTTAAAATAAATAGTATTAGTTTATCATGGATTTTTTGTGCACAACTAATGAATCAGAAAATAGATAAAAGTAGACAATTATAACAGATCACAATCGATTATAAATATACCGAAAAATGGATCGAACATTAAGCGATTAAAGTTATTTTTTTATTTTGTTTTATAATTGATTATAAATTGGCTTCAAAGATAGAATTTATAATTGATTATTAATTGATTAAAATCTTTTTTTTCTCAATTTTAGTAAGACTAAGATCATAACATAACTACTAAAACTATAATAAAACTCAAATCATTAGTAAGACTAAAACATAATATAGGTAGTAAAATCATAATAATATCCATTGTTGAAGCTTGAAACTGAATGCGGGGATGAAATATATTGCCTCTCTGAGCTCAACTTCTCGAGGAATTGTAGTTATCTGCAATCAATACTTAACTTAACAACCGTACTTAAATTGGGCGAGTCTTCAGTGGTTTGAGACTACTATTTTGGCTGGTCTTGGTTTTATTTATGCGTTCTCTAAAAAGTTTATCTATGACGCGGGAAGCGTAATTTCATTGCGGCGTGGCATTTTATCTTGCTCTACGATAACTTCAAACTAAATGAGGAACGCTAGCTGAGTAGTTGTTTTCATTATTCTCAAGTTATGTTCTATACAAGGGCGGATCTAGGATTTTTTCGAGGCGGGGGGCGGATTTGCAAAAAAAAATCGAAAACTTTAGGACCTTTTTTTTTAGGTCTACTGAGTTGATTTTTCGAGCTCTCCCTAAGCACAGTTTAGTCTCTGTTTTAGCCAAACTTTCTGCGCCGCAGGTATTATTTTCAAAAAAAATATATATAAGCACTTTTTTGGAAAATTTTGACCAAAAAAACTGCGTTTTTCGGCGCGCGCTCCCCCCTCAAAATTAGTGTATTTTGGCGCCAAATGCGCCTTTAGAAAAATTTTAGGGTCGGTCGGCCAAAAATGGATTTTTAAAAAGTACTAAAAAGCGTCACCTCCCCCCCTAATTCCGCCCCTGGTTCTATATATTCTATATATGTCCAATTATTCTCATTTTCTACTGCTAATTGGCTGAAGGGAATCAAAGCAAACAAAATTCAAAAATATAGCTTTTTCAAAGTTTTTTTTGCCTAAAACTGTTTGAGACCAGTTATTGAGCAATTGGATTTTTCTAATTTACATGCTCTTCACAAAAAAAACTATAATCCCTTTTGTTTGCCCATTTTGTCTTTGACCTTGCCATTGAATTGCTTAATATTTACGGTTTTTGCAGTCTTTGGTTTATATGAAAATTCAGATCAATTCAATTTATCACTTTTATTTTTTCATTTCTCCTTTGAAGTTGTTTATTAATGCAAGTTTTTAAGTTTTTAGCCACCAAAAATTAGCATATTGCATTAGGTTCATGGTTAATTTGGAAGATTTATTTTTTCTGCTAATTTGGTTGTAAAACGTTTTTTTTTTCAGATGAGCCTAAGTGTGACAAGAAATCTCGCTTTTAGAGATTTTTTTTTGACAGTTAAAAATAAGCACAGGATTTGATTGAAGTAAATTTTTGGTATGACCGAATCTTGCCAAGTTAAGGTTGGTCGATTATAATTGATTTGAGGAGTTTTTTTGCATTAACTATTATTAATTATGAATTTTCAAGCATCTAATTTTGGTAACTGTAATCAATTGTAATTGTCACAAAAAAAACCTAATAATCTGTTATGATCGATTATTTACGCGTAAACTTGGATGCGGAAAGCAAATGACTTAAATCGCAGTTTAAGTCATTAGGTCGTTAAGAGTTGGTTATGAGCTCTTAGATTAAAAATTTTTGAAAAAGCTTCTAAGGATCACTTTTGTTCAGATGTAAACAAAAATTTGATCAAACATTTAAAAAAAACTGAGTATAAACTGAAACGTTAAAGGTCTCAAAACTTTTCTATTTATTTTTTGGTAAAAAAATAGCTACTCGGGATTTGGTTAGTGATA